TGATCCTTTTTTTTGGCGATCAATTATTAATTTTCAAAATTGCAGGCAAATTTGCCTGCAAAACCATTAAGGGGATATAAATTTTATGCATTAGATGTAACTGTTTAAGTAATAAGTATACGAATTCTATTGCAGAATTATTAGCTAAGCAGAAATTTAGTATATATGCTTATTTGCAAATTGGTAAAGATACATTAGATATTTCTATTTATTATTGCTTTAGTATAAAATAGCTATTGTCTGAATTAGAAAATTTACTGATATAACCCAAAAAGACTATTGCAGTGGATGGTACAGAAATACTAATGTGATTAAACCTTGTGATTTGATGTTATTATTTACATTATTAATATTTCCATTTTCCATAGAATTAAATAAAAATATTGAATGTTTATCGAGAAAAGTATTTAAGAAAGAAAATTATTTCTTGGGGAAGTTAAAAAATAAGTTAAAATAATTATTACGTGATACCGGATAAATCACTTATTCGGCATTTCGAAGCCGAATAAACTATAAGATAGGTTATAATATTGGATTCTGGGCTTTGCGGGGCTATTCGCTCAAAAAAACTCCGAATTTAGCCGATGAGGGTTAACAAATTCAATTAAGAAGACAATATTGAGTGCAATGTAAAATATACGAAAGTATAACAATAGTTTCGCAATATGTACAATGTAAATAATCAAACCTATAATATTGCCTCTCTACAGAATAAGTCTAATTTTACAAGCATAAAGATTTTCGGTCAACTTGATTTTAAAACGATTAAACTTTTGTCTAAAAGTACTCAAAATATTTTGTGTATAATTTCGCTAGTTAAAACAGAAGTTGAAAATATTATCTTTATTATAATAATTAAGAATTAATAAATTAATTAATAAAAAAATTAAAAAGTATAGAAAGGAATATCAATGAAGAAAAGCAGAAAACGAGAATATTTGCACTGCAATTGTACTCTATCAATGCTTAATAATATGAATCAACTAGATTAACAACTATCCGCGCATATACTATGGCAACAAACAAAACTCTTACAGTGAAAATCTGCTGTGCATATACATCCGTTCGGTTCATTGTAATCACCTATACCGCAGCCTACAGTACATTATATTGTTATCATTATGAAAAATCGTAAAGTGAATGAGCAGAACTATTTTTTAGAGTAATTCAAAATTACAAACCTCTTTTTAGGTGTCGATTAGCTAGGTCTTAATAAATACAAAACAGAAAGATTAGACAAAATTTTCCAAGGATAAAATGATTGAACTCAATAGGGAAGAAATCATATAGTACCTTTACGGTTGATGGAAACGCCTCCGACTAAGATGCTTGAGAAGAAGATTGCGATAAGTAAAACCGCAAAATTGCGTTTCATGATTGGAGAAATTCGATACAATGCAAATACGTTTCGTGAAAATTAGAAATTATTCAAATATATTTAAGTCTTGTTAGCAAGGAAACTCTTTTCTTTTAAAGCTTTGAAAAACTCAATATTTATCGCCACTACGTTATTCATCTCACATGAAACAAGAAATAAAATTTCCAATTTTATCAATATAAAGGTATAAAGATATTACCACCCGAGATCATCTCGATCATCCCGAATAAAATGCGCAAAACACATCCGTAGTGTTTGTTATTGGTGAGAGAAATTTATCCACATGATATACTTTAGAATATCCCAAAGCACCTAGTTTGATTGATGAAGTATTGGCTCAGAGGAATCGATTCTATGAATGGGCGAGATTGGATTGATGAGCATTGGGATTCTGTGGGGAAAGAAGGAAAGCTTAATATCATTTGATGAGAATGAATTAAGGGAGAATCCGTTTCGAAATCAGTGAAATTATTCAGATTTTCTGGGAATAAAATTTCGTGAAGAATAACTAACTTCCCAAGCCTCTTTCATGCGAAAACGTGAAAATGATCTGCATATTAGGATAAAGCTTCGGCGATATATATTTTTATGTATTTAAATTCGGTCCACATAAACCTTTTAAGGTATTTCCTTATGAAGGATTTTTTTTTGCTTTTTGTTTGAGAAGAATTACAAACGTCAGTTTCCCTTAATAAATTCATAAGATTTTTTCACGTTTTTAAAAAGGATTCCAAAAAGGTAAATGTAATTCTAAAATCGCATTCATCCGAGCAAATCAATTCATTTAGAATTACGGAAACTTTTTACGCATCAGACGATAACAAAGAACCGAAACAAACAAAGCAACCATGAAATAATTTTATTTTCGAATTCGTTTTATTGCCTACGCTTTTAATGGCCATGATCCATTACACTTTAAATTGATCCTCTACAAGATTTAAAGCTACTGTCTTCGGACCATTACCTGTTGAAATTTCCGAAATGCAAATGGTTTTGTTAAAATTTTTGATAAAGATTATAATCCAGCTTCTTTCTTGGGTGTGATTTGGCGGGAATTACATGTCCATTTAAAGCTGGAACAAATTTTGGTAAAGAAATCCTTGGCTGCGTGTTTTATATTTGCGTTAAATCACCAATTATATATAACATTATAGAAGTATAAAATTAACGAAATCATGTGAAATAGGTGCGTCATGTGATTTGATCCAAGTGAACAAATTAATCACGTGAAAAAAAAAACTACCGTTTTAATTAAATCAGTTCAACATTGTCAAATCTTTATCTTTCAAAAATAAAGTAGAGAAACTCGTTATTAAAAGTAAATATGTAAGTAAATATCAGAAAGTTACAACTGATATTAATATGTGTAAAGAATTAATTGTTTCTGTTTTAGTACCTACGGCTTTCTAATCAACGAAAATTCTGCGGGTTTGGTTCTTAAAGCGATAAAAATGATGAACGTTGATGATCCCGCAATCTTCGTTCAATGGGATGCTAGAGGATTTAACGATACCACAACAGAAAATTGCCGTAACGGCGTGGCCAGACAAACTCTAACAGCTAACGAATCTTTTAGGCTATATTACTAGGAGTGGTAGGATAAACTTTCAAGGACTGAATACTTTATTCATATTTAGAAATAACATGGGAATTGCCCAGTGCCAAGAAGGACTCCCCACATGATATGAGAAATTTCATTGGTATTTTTTGGGGTTTGCTAACCGTGTTTTCATGATTTCTTTTCTTCTTTTTTTTGTTAAAAGGGCTCACCATCAAGCGGGGGTTTACAGATGTTTGTAGCTCGATTTGTAGAATAATAAGTTATCAATTAATGGCGCAATTGACTTTGAGCCATTAAACTTGCCTTTGAAACTATAACATGTTTATACATAAATCAATACTTGATGAGGCTTACTTTGATTGCTGTGTTAGAGTTAATTGTCATAAATAGCGCTTTTGCTTCATATATTTAAAGAATAAAACAGACGATCTGAAATTTATTAAGTCTCTCGGATCATGTGACTTTTCGACAGGACTTCGTTCGAAAAAATAATCATATATCGTATTCCGACAATTCTATTCTAAACTTTTTTTGAAGGAGAGTGAATTCACTCATTGTCTTTCAACAAAACAAATACTTTAACACCTTTATCACACCTCGGAATCTTTATTCGGAAAATTCGATGCTTAATGATAATTTATCATCATTCAAACAGAAAATTCCAGTCCGAACCGTAGTAAAAATACCATATAAATAATCAAAATCATAAGCTTCCTCACTCTTTCTTTTTCTCTTGTCTCTTGTTCGTTTGGAACGAACTTTCAAGCTGTTTGATATTTTGAGCGAAAATTTCGACTACATTCTGTTGTGGTTTGTCTTCAGTGATCCTGTTATGATTGAAAGAATTTGTATTAATTTATCGAAAAATGCCAAGAAAATAAAAAAATATTTCTTAGTATTCCTCATATCCTGATTGCGAAGTCAACCCGTCCTGAGCTTTCTTTACCTACTACTTCGCATTCAGGCCTCATAATCTCCTTCATATCAGACTCTGACAATCAGGTTGCATTTGATGGATAAAATTTTTATGAAGGTGGGTAACCGTATTATTCAGAATATAAAAAAAAGGTTTCAGTGCACATGAATTGGTCAGTGCATTACAAACAAAAAAATTTAATAATGTATCCCGAAAGGAGAGTGTTTTGACGATCTTTCAACGAGAACTTCACGGGATCTTTATATTCAAATTATATATCAAACAGCGGGATTCATAAAATTGACACAGAAAAGTCATAATAGGAAAATATTACGACTTATTTTTTATTCTACTTACAAAGTGAAATATACTAATGTCTGCGGACCACACCAGTTTTACGTTTACCGACCTGTAGAAAAAGTAAAAAATGGTTGTCATATTTTCAACAACAATTAATAAAGTTGCCCATATCGGGTTTATATTATAAAATTTATAAAATAATTTTCTTGTTTTATTTGGTTTATAATTGATTTAAAATTTTTAAAACTAGACTATTAATTGTAATTGATTTATGAAAATTTTAAAACTAGACTATTATGATTGATTTAGAAATATATAAACTAGGTCTAGTAATTAAGATAAATTCTAATATCCAATTTTACTTGGTCTTTGGTTTGGGAGAAGAACCGGGAGAAACGGGAGAATCCTGTTTCAGTTCGGTTAATCCAAGATGCGTTTGCACTTGAATCATGTCTACAGCAAGTTTATGGATCCGATCATCTAGCTTGTCCATTCGAGCATCAAGCTTGTCCATTCGAACATCTAACTTGTCCAATTTCTGGATTGAATGAGACGTTTAACATTAGTAATAATAGGGAATGATCATTAAGTAATCACTCACATTTTGGATTCGATCTTCTAGCTTGTCCATTCTATTATCAAGTTTGTCGAATTTCTGGATTGAATGAGACGTTTAACATTAGTAATTGTGCACTTATATTAGGGAATGATCACCAAGTAACTTAATCACTTTTTCAATCATCTTAAAAACACTAAACGCGCCTCCTCCGCTTAGTAAAAATAATCCACCAAGTTTGAGAAGTTGAGAATTTTCTGTTTCCTTAATGAATGGTAAATCTTCAATGCCTTTGGGTTAATCATATATAATAAAAAATTAGTAAAGGTCTACTCTTATAAATGGAAAATGTATTATTATTTTTTTCCGTTGTCCCGCTAAATATTATATAAATTTATTCTTACTTACCATTAACTTTCACGTTTTGAACTAAGGTTCTTCTAAATGGGACGTATTTAGGTGTGAATTGTTGGACGTGTCTTAACATTTTTTTTTATTGCTTAGTTTTTAGTAAATTTGTTTTGAGAGAATTGATGATATTTTATCAGAGAGAGTTGATGATAGTTTTATCAGTTTTATCTTATATTTTATATTACTTGTGTTATTTTGACATCATAGTTACATATACATAAAGTATTGAAAAACCGAAAATCTATGAAGATCAATTCACGTGACATACTCCCCTCCTATCCATATTATTCTAAAATAAATAAATCAGTATCGAATAATATCCAATTCACGCGAAAAAAATGATTACTCATTAGATTGTGAGCACGTCCGGAATGTGTGACAGGTTATGCCGATTATATGGCTTAAAATATGTGGCGCATTCTTCAAAAAAAAAGCGTCCAAGTCAAACTTTACTGCAAAAATCCAACCTTCGCCTTAAGTAAACTTGCCATATTTAAGTCTAAATATAAAGTTTATTAAGTTTATTAAGCTTTGGTTTTGAAAAGAAAAAAGATTCGTAGAAATTGTCTGTGGATCATCATGTCGATCATTTCCAAAAAAAATATTTTTTCGGCATAACCTGTCACACATTCCGGACATGCTTCGCACTGACACGTGACTGTCATGTATTACATCACAAAACGTTTAAGAATTCGAAGTGAAATCTTTTTCGTAAATAATAAATGAGAAAGGGCTGGCGAGCTAAGAAAATATGAAACTAAAAAATGATAAAGTAACAGGCTGTTTCAAGGAGGAAAGGCATGAAAGAACACGAGCCCTAACTCATATAGCAGTTCCTTAGTGTAGTGATTTATCCAAGCACCTATTTTTCCAAGTTTTCGCTTTTTATATTAGCCCCATGGTAAAATCTTTTTATTGTATCTTTTCCAATTACTCCCATCCCAAGTTTAAGAATATCAACCGATACATCTGATCTAAAGTATAATCATTCGCACCCTTATCCTAAAATCGTTCCCGGACTACAGAAATGATATTCGCGAATTTTTGTTGATCTACAATTAAAAAATGTTAGTCAAAAGTCCCTAATATGTACGGTAAAATTATCAAGAATTATTTCCAGAAGAACATCCGAACTTGAAGTTGAAGCTGAATCATTGGTCACACTTTTGTTGGTCAAAGTCGATCTGCATAACGTTGAGCCATATCATTTGAAGAATTTCAATAGAAGTATTGTGAATTTTGATGATGTCTAGGATTTTTTTCGATCTCACTAATTTTACTTGTGATGATTTGAGCGATGCCAAAATTCTATTCGTCTCTAAAGAAAATGCGTTATCACGTGCTTTAATTTCTGCACTGATCTTTGCCGTTAATTTCTGTATCACGTGTGGAGAAAGCCACTTTTGCGGTTTGATTTTCACATGCCAAACACATGATTAAATATATAGAAAAATTCTTCAAAAACTTTGTTTCATATTTTTCAATTTTTCTCACTTTAAAACTATACCAATCCATAAACATTCATTTTTTTTTACCTTTAATCTGATTTAAATTCACAATGTTATTGGAGGTAAGAACTAGGTCGTTAAATCAAATGTTTCTAACGCGATCTTTTAACAAAATTCGTTTATTTTGTAGATCATAAATTTCTTTCTTTCTCCGCTTTCTTACCTCTTTGAACCTTACTTTAGTCGTACTTTTAATGCATTCACGTCACGAAAAACACAACGTACAGCTGTCAAATCTATTTTTGTATTTCTTCTTGTTGTAATTTTAGTTTCTATTGCATTTCTAGCATACTTGGGTTTTTATATGATTTATGTTCCAAAAATTGCTCATGTAAAGCCCATTTATTTACAATACGAGTAAGTTAATTGATCATATATATAAGATTATTGAAAATTTGTAATCATGATAAAAGGTTTTTTTTTCTTAAAATCATTTTTCAGAAATGACAAACCTCCATATGCAATAATAGATTTCACAGATAATGGTCGATACGATACCGTAGGTTAATTTTATATATTTCTGTGTTTTACGTTTTAAGTAATTAATCCATTTTTTTCTTCCTTAGCTATTAACTGCGGATCAAGCATATGATGTTTCAATTGATTTATATGTTCCTAATTCAGATAGAAATATTGCATTAGGTTAGTGATTAATATATATAATATCACAAGCATATTACTTTTATTAAAATTCATCATTATTTGTGGGATTGTAACTTAATTAATTCTAGTTGAATATGATTCACCGTTTAGGTAACTTTATGATCGGTTTAGGATTAAGGGCCAAGAATGAAACGGTGCAATTTTCAAGTCGTCCTGTAGGTTTTTTTTTAAAATTAAAAACTATTTTATTTGAAAATGATATATTTTCAAAAATCTTTATTTGATATAGTGTATCCTTACATATCAATCGGGCATGCTTCGCGTCTTTTCTACTTTATGGCGATTAATTCCTTTGGTGTTAGGTTTCACAAAAGAAGATCAAAAACTAAAAATTGTTATGCTGGAAAATATGATTGAGAGTGAAGTAAGTTATATAAGTAAATTTTGTATAACTTATTTATATTTTTTAATACAAACAATTTGTCCTTCTGGATTTAATTAATTAGGAAAAGCCAATAACGGAAGCATTGATTACTATATCAAACAGTCATCTTGAGGTATATAACGCTCAAATTCGATTGGATGCTCATTTCAGAGGCTTGCGGTATTTTATTAAGATCAATTAATTCTTCAAAATGATTTTTATTTAAAATTTAAATTAATTAAATTAAATTAAATTAAATTTTATATTATAGATATTTTATGTATTACCATCCAATTCCCACCGCAATTACTTTCATGTCCATGTTTCTTTCCTGGGAAATATTATTTTCAATTTTCGCATGGAGGTCATTTGTCTCATGGTGGCAAAATAAAGTAATTGCTATACAGAACGCTCCAATCACATCTGGAGGCGAGGGTGAAACAAACAATACTACTGATAGTAATCAAGGTGATGATTCGGATAGAACGTGGTTGGAAGGTGGTCGACGTGATGATACCGTAGAAAGAAACCCGGATGATAATGAAACATCGGACAGCGAATATGAATCAGTAAGTATTTTCGTGATGATAAAATGTATTATTATCATTAACTAATAAAATTTTTAATTTAAAGTCGCGTCCTGGTTCTGTAATTTCACCGACGGGTATAGCGTTAGTTTACGAATCTGGGGACAATACAGAATCATATGTCACAGATGATGATGATTCACATTCATATAGTACTGTTTCACGAACTAATGACAATGATCACACGGTAACAACAGAGAGTGAAGATCAATTTGAAGATGACGACCAAACGGAAGGAAGTGCTACACCAACCTCTCGAAGCCGAAGAAGTACAATTTCTGCTGGAGCATCAACAAATGCAAATGATTCAGAATTTGAAGAAAGGCCTAGTTTACAGTCTAGATCTCCTATTAGAAGAACTGGATCGAATATTGGTAATCTTGAATAATTTAATTATTGAGACAAAAGAACTAATGGATTATCAATAAGTTCTTTTTATTATTTTCGATTTGGTACTTATAATCACTTCGTTAACCTTAATTTATACATATAAATATAATCATTAACTCTTTTTTTATTTTTTGGAATATTGACGTAAAATTATCATCATTATTATTATAATAACACTTTTTAATTTTAAATACCATTATTGTTTTTTCATTATTTTCATTATTTCATACAAAATAAATTGTGATATTAAACAAAGAATTTACTACTGAAGAATCTTTCAAATGGCCTGAAATGTGACAATAATGGAAGATTTGATTTCACAAAAATATTGGATGAAATGCTTGCAGTAGGATTCGTTAGACTACAAAAAGACAAAGTGGGTTAAAAAGATTAATTAAAGGTAATTAATTAATAAGTGTATACTTACGTGGTAAAATGTTCTTTTCTCAACCATCTACCATTTAATTTTCTAGCAGTCTTCGCATTAGTTCTAGTACGCTGACCTCTTACGGGATAACCCATAGCATGCCGTTTACCTTTATAATCACCAATTGTTCTATGATGTAAAATATTATTTTTTACTTTACGACGTAAATCACTTTCTAAAGTCATATTTGATAATTCTAAGGAAATTGTGTTTAATTGAGATTCTGATAAATCAGAAACTTTACATGAATTATGAATTGAGAATTTACTACATAATTGTTGTGCTGTTTTAGGTCCTATTCCATAAAAATAAGTTAGAGCAATCTAAGAAAAAGATAATAATAATTTTTTTTTTTGTTAATTGTAAAAAAAAAAAAAAAAATTACGTGCAATGATAGAACTCACTCTAAAAAGCTTTTTATCAGGTAAATTAACACCTAGAAGTAATACTGTCATTATAAAATGTGAAACTGATGAGAATTGTTTTTTTTAAAAAAAAAGACTTTTTTTTATTATATCATGGAACCTGATTGGCTTATCATATCTTTAAAATATGAAGAAAATAAACTTTTCTAAGCTAGAACTTTGCACCAATCATAATTGTACGTTTAATATTATATAAGTTTTTTTAATTGTTCAAATTACTTCGATTATAAGGAATACAATTCAAATTATTTTCTAAATAATTTAATATGATACTTTTCGATTGTAAATTTGATTCACAGAGAGAAATAACATCACAATCGAATACCTTTCCAAAACTATTACATAAATTAGGTAAAACCTCCTCCACGATAATTTCCTCCTTCTCATCCTTTAATTTACTTAGTTCTTTAGAAATAGAAGTCATCTGTTTATTTTCTAATCCACATGGAATTATATGATTAAACCAATTTAAATCTGTATTACAGTTCAATGCAAATCCATGTGATGTGATGTATCTTTGTACTTGGATTCCTTATGAACAAAATAATTTATTAAAAAATTTTTTGAATAAAGATAAAAAAAATTTTTTTTTTATTTTTTTACCTATTGCACATATTTTTTCTTGATCATTCACCCAAACTCCAGTATCCTTGGTGGTTTTGGCTTTTATACCATATTTTATACACGTGTCTATAATCATCCGTTCTATAGCAGCAACATAACATCGTACCGAAAGCTATAATAAAAATCAAATATGTATATATATTATATTATATATTATATTACTAATCCTAAGAATTTATTTACCTTATAATTCCGTAAATCCAAAATTGGATATCCAACCAATTGTCCAGGTCCATGAAACGTAATTTGTCCACCCCTCAAGGTCTACAATAATTATAATAAAGATTGAAATGACTAATTTTATAAATCAAAAAAAAACCCCCTTTCAATAATTTACTTCATGATATTCTGCGCCAAATTCTTGTAATTGAAGTCTCTCGAATTCTCCCTTTCCTTTATCACTTCTACCAGTGGTATAAGTAGGAGGATGTTGAACCAACAACAACAAATCATTCTCTAATTTATTCTCTATTCTACTTTCAACCAAAAATCGTTGAAGGGTTAATGCTTTTATATATGCTATTTTATTTAGATAAATGTACGGAAGAACTGGCGAATTTGAATTTGTCGCTTTTTGAAGCGGATTGAAAAATATTCTAGGGAACATTATATGATCTACCATATCTGTGAAATATTAATTTAATATTATTTTTGTGTAATAGGAATTATGTAATAAACTTGGACGAGTCGTTTGCAAATTTACACATTGCTATTTTTAATTATATTTGTACATTTTACAGTTTTTGAAGAGAATGGATATATGTTTTGTCTTTGCCGTGAGCCAGATGATTTGTGCTTTATGTTATACTCCTTTATTACTTCATCTCACTTGTTAAGATTAAAATTTTTTAAATAAGGGTTGATGTTATAATATGCATTATTAATAGTATATAAATCATCCTAAGACGCGGTTTATAGCCCGCCAATAAACCATTAGTACTTTACTTCATTTTGTAATATGTATGAAAGTTTATGCCATATATTAAAAGTATTATTTTCGATCTTTTAACTCGGTTTTATGATCCGCAACCAGTGATATTCTCATTTTTTATCAACATCTGCCGTAGTTCTCGGTTTTTCCGGAAGTGGATGATGTCGTTGTCGATTACGTTTTATGTGCGCATCAGAATTATCATTTTGTTCGTCGCCTTCTGGGCTACGTCTTTTGTCTTTATTACGTCCACGCTTCGAATTATCTTTCATTTCGTCAACTGAATTCCGCCTGTTGTTTGATTGATCTTGATTGTCTGTTCGCGTGACATATACACGACTACGTTTTTTAGATTCGCGAGGATCACGCTGTCTTTCTAGACTTCGCATCCTTTTTGACTTTTTGCGATCTTTTCGTTCAAAACGTTCTTGCCTTTCGGAACGTTTTTCTGCTGATGTGATTTTTGTAGAAATTTCCTCGACTTTATGTTCTTTCTTCTCCTTTTGTTTATTACGACGACTATACTCGTGACTTGATTCATACTGTGGTAAACTAATAATCAAATCCGAATCAATAAAATTATAATAAATTTCCAAAAAAAAACCCCATGTTTTTAACTTACTCTTTGGGTTCTGCAGGCAAAGGATCTGTCCAGAAATAATCATGATCTAATGCTTGAAATGCAGTCAATCGTTGTCTTGGATCAAGTACGAGTAATTTATCCATTAGTTCCGCTGCATGTGATCCATGCCTAGAAATATATTATTATTAAAATCGATCATAAATAATAGGAATTTTTCTTACAAACCTTTCAAATTCAGAAATCACTTTTCGAGGCAAATCTTTCTCAGGTTCGACCTGCTGATCTTGAATTCCCAAATCCTTAAAGGTTTCGGCTGTTGGTGTTCCACATAATTTATAAATGATCTCTAATTGATGAATATCAGAATGTCCTATAAAACAATAAAAAAATTCAGTTTCTGGTATGAAGCTAATAATATTTTATAATTCTAAATTGAAAATAACCCATTAGTATTGGTTGCCTTCTTAACATTTCGCCAAAAACGCACCTAGAAACAAAAATGAATAGTTTAACATAACATTAAACGATTAAGGGTCATCAATTACTAATCAATTACTTGCCCAATTGCCCACATATCGATTGCTATTGAATAATGTTTTGCACCGAGTAATAATTCCGGTGACCTATACCACCGCGTTACCACACATCCAGTTAATGATTTGTCGTTTATTATCGGACGTGAAAGACCAAAATCTGCAATCTTAAGAATGCCGTTATTGTCAATTAATAAATTGGCAGCTAAAAAAATTATATAAGATTAGAAAGATATAAATAATTAAATAATTTTTAAAATAGGTTCTTCCAAGACATTTATAATTGAAATATAGTGGCAAATTTTTTTTTTTTGTTTGGACAAAAATGAAACAACCAACCTTTTAGATCGCGATGTAATATTTTTTGCTGATTAAAGGATTTCATTTAAAATATATTTCAAGATTTAATTATTTTTATTCCACAAAAGAGTATAACTACATACTTGATGAAGGTAAAAGGTTCCTTCCAGTAATTGCTTTAAATAACATTTGACTTGTGAAGCAGCGAATTGAACATCTTTATTCTCTAGGAGACCAGCTAGATCGTGGTCCATATAAGGGAATACCATATATATTGAAGGCTGATCTTCCTTATCACCTTATAAAATAAATAACTTATTAAGATTTATTACAAATTATAATCGACTTGATACATAAAATCTTTTTACCATATTCAAACGCCATATCACTCAGTGTGACGACGTTCGTGTGACTAAGTTGCCGGAGAATCTTTATTTCTCTGATCGCAGTAATTGGAATACCTTCTTTTTCATTATGCATCAAGATTCTCTTCAAAGCAACTATATTCTTAGACTTTTTATGAATACCCTTGTGAACTTCACTATCATATTGATTTTGTTGAGAAAAGAATCATAAATGATGTATCTTGACAATAAGAATGTATTGCACGTAAAGACTTTGATAAACAATTGTACAGATTTATATACCCAAATGTTCCCTCGCCAAGTTTGTCTTTTATCTCATAATCAATTATTGAAGAACACCCTACAAATGTGTGTTCACTACAAAAAAAAAAAAAAAAAAAAAAAAAAAAATGAGAAAAAGGCTAACGAAATATAAGAGCGATTAAAATGTGATTTCATACGGATAAAAGTTATGGGGTGGACTATACGACTGAACATTTTTCGGAGTTTTTATTCTATAGGGAGAACCAACGGGAGTGACAAGACTATAACCTCCATTATCGTCACTATAAATCCCATGAACTTCGTTTCCAGAATCAAAATCATTTAATAAATGTCCTTCCTGTGACGATGATCTTGAGGGTATTACATCTACTGGACTAACTGGATGCTCTCTTGGTCTGTAAGCAGGAGGCGAGGGAGATACTGATAAGTTTAAAGCGTCGGTTGTTGTCATTGTGCGTTATTTTGTTTTTATTGAAACTTTAATTAGGAGGTTAAAAACAACTCTTTTTTTCAGAGCTTCATTGATTTTATATACAGTACAAGCGATTTCCTAGTTATAATGTCGTGTAACAACTTAAAAAATTTGATCAGTCGGAAATTTTTAGTTTGGATGATAAATGAATAATCCAGCTTACGTAAATTTTAAATTTAAATCTAAATCTTGACTCACTTTTCATACGAAATTTTTGAACTTTTACACATTCGAGGTTGCTGAATAAAAAAAAACCTTAGTTTAAGTAGTGGTATATATAATATTTTTTAGTAGAATAAGTCCAGAACTAACATTATCTCAAAATTTTTTTTGGAGTTTCTTCCCTTCCTACGTACTGCAAAACGCCCCATATAACAATATTCATTTGGGTTGTGATCTAAGAAAATCAAGTTCCGAGAATTTTTTAATCAAAATTGAGATTTTTAATTGCATTTTAATTTTTATTAAATTTAAACTAAAGTGTATAAGATATTAATTTTAGTCAAAGAACCTGATTTTAATAAAATAGGGTTTACTAATTTACCCCCAAGGCTCTGATTGGCCGATATAATTGTTTAAAAAAATTAACAATTATATTTATAGTTACTTATTTAATATTTCAATAATTATCTTTATTTTTACTTGGATAAATAATTTTATAAGCTTTATTAGAAATATTTGGTTTATTATTTTATTCTACTTATAAATATAAATATCTAATTATTTTATAAAGAGTATTACTAATATGAATTGATAACTTTTATCCTTTTTTTCTCAAGGATATTCCTTAGTTAAAGCCTATTCAGATTTGTAACTATCATTAGCTTAAAAAATTGTTTATCATAAGTAACAAATAAATATTCTTTTTTATCTTCATTTAATAGTAAATATATTTAAATTTCTAAATTATCATCTTTATAAATTTGGTGAGATTTTATTTTCAAAACTTAAGACAGTTTCTTTAGTTAATATAAAATTAAAAAAATCTGTAATTTTTTTATATTTAGCAGCTTTAGTTTTGCATCTTCTTTGGATTTAAGAAGAGTTTTTAAATAGCATAAAAGACATTTAGATAGGATGATACTTATTGCATAATGTATTAAAAGTTATAACGTTTTTTTCATATCATTTTCTAGTTCTTTAATACAGTAAAGTACTGAACCTTTATTATTTGATTCATTAGCATTTTCTGTTTTTGATATTTTAAATTTGTATAAAGTTTAATTATTTTTTTAAGTAGACCTATTATTTCAATAGATGTAACATTAGAAGAAATAAGCAAGAATAAGCTTTTTTATGAAAAAATTACTTAATTAACCTAAATAAAATAATGATTTTTATGATCAAAATTTTATTTTTATATTAAAATATAGTAAATTTAACATATAATAACTTTTAATTATATACATTCATTCGAAATATAAATATATCCAACTGCAGACGAAGTAGGAGAAGCACTTTCCCCGTACCTCCTATTGAAGAAGTTAAACGGTTACTAGGCCAAAGATCATCTAGCTGAAGCAATCAAAGAAGTTAAACACATTTGAAATCTCCAGCTCGTAATCCATCTCAGATGCTATCTTTACTTCGTAACGAAGATGGAAATCTGACCGGAGGAAAAAATAACACAGTGATTTCACCTATCTAACTACTATCTTATGAAGCTTCTACTAGAAATCAACAATCATCGAATAATGCGGAGGGGATATAAATAGTATCGGGTGATAGTATGAGGAAATATCTCTAGATTATGCACAGCGCCTCGCCTTACATTAAATATATTTGAAAATTAATAAAGTAATCTTTGCCCACATAGAACATATATATATATATTTTAGCTTATATAAATGCTGTGTGAACTGCCCATCGAATAAATAAAACTGGTTTAATACAATTCATTTGCATCAATTTCAAATTTTAGTTACGTGATTTTTTTTAATGTGCATAAATTTTATTTTGATTTTCATTATATATTCTTATGAAAACATTATTTTGCTTTGCAGTAATTTCTTTTTGCTTCCTCCTAATATTGATTATCTTACTTTCAAATAATACCCTACAAGTCTAAAACGAATACTTTAAGAATTCGAGAAGTAAAAGTACGAGGATTTCTTCGCACGTTCATAACAATATTGTCTTCTTGAACTCGATATACCAGTGATGGTAAATGACCAGGTCATTTGGCCATTTTGAAATGACTTTCAAATGACTTCCAAATGACCCAGTCATTTGGGTCATTTAAAATAGGTCATTTCACAAATGACAAATAACTAAATGATCCCTTTTAGATAGTCATGTCATTTGAAGTCATTTGTAGTCATTTACGCAAACCAATTAAAAACTGTAATACTTGATCATCTTTGCATAAAAAAAATTTTTTTTTTATTCGTTGCTTACAATGCATAAATAAAATTTAGACTTTGTTATACACAAAATCTTTTTTTTTGTATT